ATGCGCCACTATGCCTGGCTAAGTTTTTCCATTTTTTAGTAGGGTCTTGCTCTTGCTCAGGTTGGTCTCAAACTCCTGAGCTCAAACAATCCGCCCACCTCAGCCTCTCAGAGTGCTAGGAATAAAGGCGTGAACCACTGCACCCGACTAGAAATACTTTTTAAAAAATGTGTTTACTGGGCCTAGCTGTGCTGTGCCAAGCTTAGTTGAAAAACAAGTTATTTTTATTAAAAAAATGAGTCTTATAAAATAAAACTTTTATGTGGTAATTTTCTACATAATAGAAAGCCCTTTTTCCTGAAAAACAATTAAAAATTAGATTATGTACTCCTTTTCACATATATTAGCAATATGTTCATGACTCAGAATTTCTTCAGGCTATTAAGACATAAAACTGTTGATCTATAAAATAAGAGGCACCAGATTTCTATGTGTTTTGGATACCAGAGTATCTGCTGTTAATAATTTTTCTGGCTGTTAGTGGTAAAAAAAACAAAAAAATAGTGGTAGCTATTAATATGCTTCCATCTAGCAGAGTTCCTTAACCTTGTTTAAATTTTTGCTTTTTATCTTCTGTGGGCCGAGAAATCAGTCAAGCTAGTGAGAATTACGTATACATTCAGAGCCCACTGCCTGAGTCGAAGTGTGAGTTTTGCCACAGGAATAAAGGGCACGGATATCAGTAGCTATTTTGGTTGTTCAAAAGACTTGGATTTATTTTCTCATTCTTGGCTATATTTCAAAGAGTATGGCATGTCCAACAAATAATGTGTTGTTATGGAAATCAAAGAGTTAGATATTTCCCCCCATTTCCATTGTTTCAGGGATAAGACTTGGGAAGTTACTGGCAAGCTGGTTTTAGCAAAATAGAAAGGCAAATATTTTTAAGTTCACAGAATAGTACCCCGAATTGAGCACTGTTCCATGAGTCCAAGTTCAGCTCTGACAGTTGACATTTCAGTCCTCTGGACACCAGTGTTTTCATGATCCTCAGATCTGCTTGTAGGATTCTGGGCTTCTAGGGCTGTAATTCTAGGGCTCAAGCAGAGGTTTCTAGGTGAGAGGATTTCTGTATCGGTAGGAGGTTGGACTGAATGACTTCTAAGGTGTATTCTTATTTTAAGATTGGATAATTCTGCGACTCACTTCTAGAAGACAATTCACTTGCTGCAGCTACCAAGGTAAATTTTAAACACCCGAGGGTGATAATAGGTTAGCTGTTCCAGTTTGCTTTTTCCGTTTTCCCCAGCTACAAGCTGAGAATGCCATTCTCGGAAATCATAGTTCTCCCCTCTCCTTTCCTTCGGGCCCTAAATGTAAAGCCATTAAAAGTTTACGAAGCAATGATATGCATTGAGAGAAAGGAAGTTCAAAGCGGTCATATTGAAGCTGGTTATACATTCTCTTTGTAGCAACAATTGAGTTGCTTCGAAAGAAGTTAATTGAAGGGAGACTCCATGGCTTGCTATTTCAGGTAAAAAGAAAAACAACCACAAAGAAAAACCTCTGTGATATGTGTTTACTCACTGTGTGGGGAAGACGTCTGACTTGTGTAAGGTTTTGAAGCTAGTTCATGATCTATAGATGACTTTAATCACTAAGTTAAATAAGCAACTTAGAAGAAGATGCTTTGGTGGGCTTTGTTCTCTTACACACTGAAAGCATTTAGCAATACAAGAGTGGAGAGCTCACATTACTGAGGCTCCTGATAATGTCTTCCAGAGAGGAAGCATTTTAGAATTTACTTGGCCCAGGCACTGTTTCTGTTAGCAAAGAGCCAGTTTTTTAGTCTTAGACACCTCCTTTCTGAGGATAAGGGTGTATCCTTCAATTCGGAATCTTATGTTGAAATTTCCAGTAGGCTTTGAATAGGCTTTACTAGTCACTATTGCTTTTTTCTTTTTCCTATTTGAATTAAACTTTCTACTTCTTTCTGTCTGCATGTCTCCGTATATCCCTGGTAGAGCTCAATGTATTTCTCTCCCTTATGATGCTTGGTGAGTCTCCCTTTTGCTCATAAAGGAAGAACATAAGGGACCAGCCAGGTTGGCGCTGAAGAAGGGGACGGAGGAGGAAAGAGGGTGATATTTGCATGGATCTGTTTCCTGGGTATAATGCAGACACATCTGTTTAAGCAGGGGAAAAAAAAATTATTCATGTGGAAGATTAAGCTAGGCAGAATGCCTAAAAAGCCCTCGGCTATAAGTTGAGCTAGAAAAACCTCCGTATCTAAAGATGCTTTAATCATCTCAAGAACGCCAACATTTTGTATTGTAACTATGATAGATATGTATCTGCATCTTGGCTCGAGGCCATCATTTTATTGCTAAAAATTTTTCACAGACACATTTTACTACTCTGAGTTCTGTCTCCAACCAGCTCCTTTGGCTTCTTCCTAAAAATGCCAGTGAAAAAAATCTTTGTTTCTTGTCCGTGATCTTTGGATTTCATTCCTAGATCAAGTGATGGGGAAACTACAATGAGAGGTTTACAGTTACAAATGTGTTCCCTTAAAGTGGAATATGAGATTAAAAAAAAAAAACTAGTCAATTTTACCCACCTTAGGTAGTGTCATATTTGAAGTCTAGTGTGTTTTGTATCTTTGACACTTTCTTCTTTCTGTATTTGAATGCACTCCACCATTTTCTCATGACAGAGCCTTTTAGATGAAAGATTTCCTCACTATGATCCCCTGTCCTGCACAAATACAGTACAACAACCTCTTAAAGAAAAATTGGTTAGCATGAGCATTTTGAAATTATTTAGAATCCACATCTATGCCAAAATAGAAAGCTAAGCCCCATGTGTATTGGAAGCCTTAGCATCCTAAACTGTATTGCTAAGAGATTATCAGATGAAGCAATGGATATCTATTTTTTTCTTATTTTTTCAGATACGTGTACATACAATTCTGGTTGGTCCTAAGAAGTAGCACTATTTCAAAATCTTTTATCGCAGTATCATGAAGCATTTTGTCACTAAGCTTGCCCCCTCACTCCTACCTTTTTTTTCTCAGAGCCTTTGTTTATATCAAAGTGTCAATTATTTGGAATTGATGATGCTAAGTTTTTGAACTGTGATTTTTTGATAAGAATTATAATTTACTTATAGGGTATATTTAATCAAACGCATCAAAGCTTTTTTACTTGACATCATTTCTTTCCTTCCTGACCTCTCTCACGGGGTCATTTGAGACTAATGATAGTCTTTCTATTTTGGAAGGTGAAGAGAGTAGGTTATGAAATGCGTTATGTTACGCTCCTTTAGACAGCTAATAATCCTTGGTTTTCTGTTCAGAAGCAGTGTTGCCACAAACCATATGGTGGTCAGGAAGCAAGAATACATCAGACACCCCTGACCTTGAAACATACGTGCTGGTACACACCTCTGCTGGGTAAGAATGGGTAGCCCCTTCTTACACCTGCTCAGACATGGCTGGGGGTAGAATGCATTGGAAAGGGAAAATAATTAGTCACAATTGTATTCATATAGGAAGAATTGTTGAATACTAGATATTTATCCCCGAATTCAGTCAATCAATATATATTTGAGCACTTACTCTGTGCAAGGCACTATATGATGCATCATATAGTATAAGTCCTAAAGTCTCTCACAGACAGGGGTCGAGGAGGAGATGAGATGTGGGCTCAGAGAAGTCAAAGAAGACTCCATAGAAGAGGATAGAGTTGAATGAGCCTTGAAAGATGGGTTGGATTTGGAAAAGCAAAAAGTGTCAAAAAAAAAAAAAATGTATTCCAATGGGTGAGAGTGATATGAGCAAACACAACAAAAAAAGGAGAATTAAGAATGCAAAAGGCCTAACTGTTTGAAGAAGAGTCACAGCTGGACAAGTCATTTTGGAAACAAAAGGATTCAGGTTGAGATACAGTAGAATATAATTTTGGAGAAGGAAAAGCAGGTGTGGGTCAAGTCGTAGACTATTATTCAGTGGCAGGCTAAGGAGAAAGAGCTTTATCCTAGGAAATGCTCAAAGTGGTGACATCTCTGAGTACAACCTGGATGTGGTTAAAAGCAAAAGTTAATGTCTGGTTCTGAAATGTCAAAAGAAATGGGATGATCATCAAAATAAATTTAAGAAGGAATAAAGAGTAAATAGAGTGATTTATGGATCATTTAAACTTGAGAATGTCACTACTAATGGAGTGTCCATGTGTATCAGACAATAGATTAGTGCTTTATAGAGATTATTATATTCACAATAACTCGGTGATAATTACCACCAACAGTAGCAGCCCTTGAAGAGGGCTCACTATGTACCAGGCACAGTGCTATGCTCTTAACATGTCTATTAACTCATTGAACCCTCACATTCCCATGAGGTAGGTGTTTATGTAATTCCCAGTTTAAAGATGAGAAAAAAGGAACATGGAATAAGTAATTTGCCCAAAGTCACCTCTCACTTCATGTATAAGTAACTAAAGCCCAGGGTGGCTTAGTTAGTTAGTTAAGATCACATAACTTGTATGTGACAGAGCCCGGATTTGAACTACAAATCTGTGATTGACTCCAAAGCCCATGATTTTTTCCCATTAAGCTCTGCTGCTTCCTATACTGAGAAACACACATAATGAGATGGTTTCCCCAAAAAAGTGGTTTGTCATCCCAATCTATTTCCTGCATTACTCTTTGACAGGTTCTGATCACAACATCTAATGCTTTTCTCCTCGGAAGTCTGCAAAGTTGTTTGGTAAAGGGCTGGATAGTAAATATTTCAGTTTCTGCTGCCACTACTCAATTTTCCTGTTGTATCATGCAAAGGTCTTCTGGCCTCCCTGAAAACCCCCTTTAAAAAAAAATTGGCATTTCCACCCTCATGTAACTAGACATCAAAGGTATTTATGTTAAAATGTTAATAGAATTGGGTTGAGTTTTGCTTTTTCAGAAATGGCCCAATCTCTTAAGAGGGGAAGGATTTATTCTTTAATATAGTTTGAACCAGAAATCAATCTCTATTTTTCTTCTTTTCTGTTCTGTTACAGATGCCTTATCTCTGGATAGTCTTACAGCAATTCCAAGGCTGGAAGTGACGTCCTTTTCATGTGTAGCCAACCAAATCCATGCTTCGTGTGAAAAGCCCAAATATGAAGAAATAAAGGATGGTGCTTTGGCTGTGACAAGACAACACAAAGTATAGGTTACAAAGAGGCAAATTCTGCCTACTCTTTTTTTTGAGACAGAGTCTCGCTTTGTTGCCCAGGCTAGAGTGAGTGCAGTGGCGTCAGCCTAGCTCACAGCAACCTTAAACTCCTGGGCTCAAGTGATCCTCCTGCCTCAGTCTCCCGAGTAGCTGGGACTACAGGCATGCGCCACCATGCCCGGTAATTTTCTATATATATATTATGGCCAATTATTTCTTCTATTTTATAGTAGAGACGGGGTCTCGCTCTTGCTCAGGCTGGTTTTGAACTCCTGACCTTGAGCAATCCACCCGCCTCAGCCTCCAGAGTGCTAGGATTACAGACGTGAGCCACCTTGCCTGGCCTTGCCCTACTCTTTATTGGTGGCCTAGCCCCATTGCCTAACATTTTTAGTTGATTAGATTTTCATGTTCTGAGATCATAACACCTTTATTGCGAAACTTCTCTAACTTTCTCAAAATTTACAATTTTAAAATAAAGACATCGCTGTAGTTTTCTTGTTTCTTTTGAATTTCATAATTTCCATTCTAAAATTTAAAAGACAAATTAGACTACGTAAGATGTTTCCTAGTTTTTAGGAATATACCACATACAGCTAAATTAACTAAGGTAGGTTGTGATCACATTTCTAGTCCTTTCACACCTCAAACTTAACATGCCTTTGGGAACCTCCTCCTGTCTCTGCACCCCATTCCCTTCCTTTTTAAGAAACTGACTGATCTTCCAATCTAAAGGGGGAAAAAAACCCCACAGTCACCAACAGACTTTCTGCTATAATATTCTCAACTCTACACTCTGACACCATGTTTGGGTTTCTCCCCCACACACTAACCAATTCTCCAGCAGACACCAAATGAGCATCCTCTAACTCAGTTCAGCTCTGGCACTATTTCCTTGGAGGTAGTGTCAGATGCCAGAGGTTACGGGGTCAGTCCCACGAGACTTCAGATGCCAATCGCAAGTGCCAGGTTTGGACCTGTACTTCTGACCAGCTGGCTATGGCTTGGGTGTTCCCATGACCCCTTTCTCAGGTTTAATTTACTAGAATGGCCCACAGAACTCAGGGGAGCATTTATGTTTACCCATTTCTTACAAAGCATGTTTTAAAGGATACAAATGAACAGCCAGGTGAAGAGATACGCAGGGTTTGCAAGGGTCCCAAGTGCAGGGGCTTCTGACTGTGTGGAGTTGGGGTGTGCCGCCCTCCCGGCACGAGGATGTGTTCTTGTTCTTCAGCCTAGAGGCTGTCTCAGCCCTGTGCTGTAGGATTTTTATGGAGGCTTCATTACATAGGCACGATCAATTAAATCATTGGTCGTCGTTGATCGACTCGGCCTTCAGCCCCTCTTCCTGCCAAAGGAGGTTGGGTGTGGGGTGGGGTGGGGCTGACAGTTCCAGCCCTCTGATCACGTGATTGGTTCCCCTGGCAGTCAGCCCCCCCCTGCCTGAAGCCATCCAGGACTCCACCAAGAGTCACCCCATTAGGAAAAAGATGCTCCCATCACCTAGGAATTTCAAAGGATTTAGGAGCTCTGTGTCAAACACTAGCACTCAGGAAATTACAAAGGTCTTAGGAGCTCTGGGTCAGGAACCAGGGTTAGAGATCAAATAGTAGAGCAAAAGATTCTCGTAATGCCCCCTATCTGCAAGGATTTTAGGAGGTCTGTCTCAGGAAGTGGAATATCGGCTCTACACTGCCAAGTTAACCCACGTAGGTTTTGACAAGATCTCTGAGTCTTTTATGCTCAAGGTTAACAAGACTTTGGGAATCTACCCCTGTCCCTGCACCCCTTCCTGTTTTGATGCTCATTTGCTCTCACCTGCCTTTTTAAGTACGCAGACCGGCCTTCCTTAGGACAAATTCAGAAATGTCAGTGGAGTTTGGAAGGCCTAGCTGCCCCAGTGAAATGTCCTTCCTGTATTGAGGGTAGGGAAGGAAGACTTTGAATTGCGAATTCTCCATTTTCTTTTTTGTCTGGATTTTCTGTTGTTTTAATCTCTCTCTGATGAAGGTGGGAGTCTCTCTTTCATCGTGTCTTAAGCCATAAACTTATTTAGAAAAATGATAAAATTGGGACTGGGGGAAGAGGAGTGGGAACTATGTTATAGCTTGGTATCTGCTAAAATGTGCGGTTTTTCTACCTGTTGTAAATAATTCTACTTTGTATTGTCAGGTGTCCAGGCCTCACAGGAGGCCCCCACCCAGGAACAGATCTTCCAGGTAGCATCAGGATGAACGATGACCTAAGGATGGAAGTGAGTGTTTCATTTTCTGTATTAGCATATCCTGGCCCTCTCCTGTGGGTGTTCTTTTTCTTTTTCCCTTTCCTTTTCTCTCCCTCTCTCTCTCTCTCTTAAAGTATCATGGATACTCTTGTAGCATGTAGGAGTCTAACACCACAAAACTCAGATTCATGAGAAATAGCAACCTTTGAAGTCAACAAACTGAAATTTAGTCATTGGGGGGCCCTTCTGCCCCTTGCATAGTATGAACTCTGGAGAGATTTATTTATTTATTTATTTTGAGACAGAGTCTCACTCTGTTGCCTGGGCTAGAGTGCTGTGGCATCAGCGTAGCTCACAGCAACTTCAAACTCCTGGGCTCAAGTGATCCTCCTGCCTCAGCCTCCTGAGTAACTAGGACTACAGGCATGTGCCACCATGCCTGGCTAATTTTTTTCTATGTATATTTTTAGTAGGCCAATTAATTTCTTTCTATTTTTGGTAGAGACAGGGTCTTGTTCTTGCTCAGGCTGGTCTTGAGCTCCTGAGCTCAAAGGATCCACCCACCTCGGCCTCCCAGAGTGCTAGGATTACAGGTGTGAGCCACCATGCCAGGCCCAAAAGGAGATTTTGATGAAGTGTGCTGAACTTTTTGAGAGGCTGGCTGGCTTGGGACTTAAATTCACTAATGACTGCAAGAAGTCCCAGGTCCCATGGATTCTCTTAGAATTGATGTCAAGGTCAGATAAACTTTGAGGGGCTGGCCGTTTGTTGAAGACCACAAAGCAAGGCTAGGTCCATGGAGACTATCCATCCCAGAGGTCAGGTCCTAATACCACTTCCATGCCCAAGAAAAGAATAACAATAAATGACTTGAAGGTCACTTAGGGTCAACTCCCTAGATCCTTGAGATGTGGTTGGAGTGCCTTCCTCCATCTGCAGCCTGAGCCCTGTAATCCTTACAGTCAAATGAAGCAGGTGGTTATATTCCAGGGTCTGACAATCTATCACCCTCTTTTTTATTTTTTTAACAATTTTATTGAGATAGAATTCACACACCAAACAATTCCTTAATTTAAATTGTTCAATTCTTAAATGACTTTCAGTATACTCAGAGTTGTGCAACCATTGCCACAATCAATTTTAGAACATTTTAATCACCCCCAAGAAAAACTGCATACCCATTAGCAGTCTCTCCCTATTTCCCCCTCCCCTACACACCCAGGTCTAGGCAACCACCAATCCACTTTCTGTCTCTATGGGTTTGCCTATTCTGGACATCTTATATAAACAGAATAATATGTGACCTCTTGTGTCTGGCTTTTTTCACTTAACATAAAGTTTTCTAGGTTCATCCACGTTGTAGCACATTATTAGTACTTTATTCATTTGCATGGCCAAATATTCCATTGTATATCTATGCCACATTTTGTTTGTTCGTTCATCAGTTGATGGGCATTTGAGTTGTTTCTACTTTTTGGCTATTGTGTGAAATACTATTATGAACATTATTGTATAAGTTTTTGTGCAAACATGTTTTTAATTTGTGGGAGTATATATCCAGGAGTAGAATTAATGTATCATATGGTAACTCTATGTTTAATGTTTTGGGGACCTGCAAAACAGACTTCCACAATGGCTACACCATTTTACATTTCCACCAGCAGTGTATGAAGATTCTAACTTCTCTGCACCCTCACCAATATTTGTCTATTTTTTTGATGAGAGCCATCTTTGTGGGTACAAAGTGATTTCTCATTGTGGTTTTGATTTGCTTTTCTCTAATGATTAATGATGTTGAACATCTTTTCATGTGCTTCTTGACTATTTGTATATCTTCTTTGGAGATGTGTCTACTCAGATCTTTTGCCCATTTTTAAAACAGGGTTCTATTTCTTTTGACCATTGAGATGTACAAGTTGTTATTCTTTTAAGTGTGCGTATCTGACATTTTTTTCTGGTCATTAGTACCTGCTTTGTTGAGTAGCTAAGAAAAAGAAAAAAGAAATGAATCTATTTTGCTATTACTTAGCAATTCTTACAAAGTTTTAATAAAGGAAGTTGAACTTGGAGGCTTACAGGATGTTGGTTATTGGCAATTCCCCTTTTATCTGGCACTGACTTCTCGAAGAAGGAAGAAACAAGTATCAGCTGTGTACCAGGCACTTTGAAGGAAAGCATTTCCCCATACCCTGTTATTAAGCCTCCCTATGCTCTGAGTGGCGGGTATTCTCTGCTTTTTACAAAGGAGGCAACTGAAGGTGAGAGGGTTAGATAACTTGCCCAAGATCACCCAACTAGTAAGTAGCAAAGTCAATTCCAATTCAGGTTTGTCTGGCTTCAAAGGATGCCCTCTCCTCAACCATAGTACACTGAATTCAGACATTTCAATCATAATGATCCCTTATAGTTACCTTGAAAGTGGATTTGGGGCTAAGAAATGTACTGCCTTATGTATCTAAAAGGGCCTCCTCATCGACTCTTGTTAGGATATGTGACTAAGGTGTTTTGTCTAGGTCTTCATACCCATTTAAAAATAGAAGCTAACAGGGATCACAGCAGAAACCCTTGTCGAATGTTCCTGAGGAAATGTATAGGCTCCCCGAAGGTTTTCAGGCTCTCTTCTGTGCCATTTCTTCTGTAGTCCCCAGGAATTAATCTGTTGGCTGTACTTTGTGATGGATAACATCAATTCCTCACCTTCCCCCTTCTAGGTTTGTTCCACTGAAGAGCCCGGACAGCCTGGTAGCTATACTTCCCCACGCCCACCTCCCCTCATTCCTTGAGCTATTCCACACCTTCCATTCATTTTTTTTTTTTTTTTTTTTGAGACAGAGTCTCACTCTGTTGCCCAGGCTAGGGTGAGTGCCCTGGAGTCAGCCTAGCTCACAGCAACCTCAATCTCCTGGGCTCAGGCGATCCTTCTGCCTCAGCCTCCTGAGTAGCTGGGACTACAGGCATGCGCCACCATGCCAAGCTAATTTTTTCTATACTTTTAGTTGGCCAATTAATTTATTTCTAGTTTTAGAGATGGGGTCTCACTCTTGCTCAGGCTGGTTTTGAACTCCTGACCTTGAGTGATCCTCTCGCCTCAGCCTCCCAGAGTGCTAGGATTACAGGCGTGAGCCCCACCACACCCAGCCCTACCACTCATTTATACTCCCTATGTTTACAGCACATAGAAAGCTCTCCTTAGAGAATGCTTTTCTAAGCATTTTCTTTAGGAATAAGTACAGGGAATTAGAATAAAATATAAGACAAATTATTAAAAAAAACATAATCTATGTTCATCCCAGTGGACCCAAAAATTGATAATGTTTTCTTAACTCCTTGGATTTCAACAATGGATTTTGTCCGTCTCTACAGGCTTATAACAAACAACGTGACCTGGTGTTCAAGGCTCTCTCTAACCTGGTTGCAACCTACCTGTCTACTTTTAGTTTCCCGTCACTGCCTGTGGCTGTCCCTGAATGTCAGGCAAACCAGGTAGCTCGTATCTTCGGAACATATCGCACAAACCTGTTGGTGCTGTTTCCTCCGCCCAGAGCACTGTTCCCGTTTCCATTTATCAAACTTCTATTTGATTGTCAAGGCGCATTTCAAAAACCAATAAAGCTTTTCTTGTGGTAGCATAAAATGTTGCCAGTCAGGCATCTCTAGTCCTTCTTGATGTGGAAATCGTAACAGACAGGGGGGGATCAGGTGTTTCCCAGGGTTGGCCCTTTGTGTGAACTCTGGAAAAGTCTGGAAAAGTCTCATGGTTTTAAGCCTCAGTTTCCTCATGTCTCAACTATCCCACTCAGGAAAAAACTAACTTCATTCCTTTCTCTGAGACTCCAATAACTCTTTGGCCTCCCTTCTCTGTCGCTTATATTCTGGTTGCAGCATAGTTATTCATTTTCTTGTATTTACTCCTATATTAGATCAGCTCGCCAGAGGATTCCTTTATTTGGCCACTAACAAATATGCATCTAGCACCCTGTATAGGTTTATAGACAGTAGTGCCTGATAATGTTTGTTGAATGTCTCTTTGTTTATTTTGACTCACCACAGGGTCTATTTAAAACATTGACAGCGAGGCACTTAATTAATTTACTGCTTTCTGTCTCCTTTCTTTGGCCTGGAGCTCCTAAGTGCAGGATTTACCTTCTTTTCCTTCTCCACATTCACAGCAGAAGCTGTATTCTGGCATCTTTATCAGAATGCACAATGTAAGAGAACAATGAACATCAGTATTTTTAAAAGGGTCTTTGAGAGAGCAAAGGACTCTAAGAGGAATGTCTCAAATAGAACATCTCATAGTAAAATAATTTGGAGCCCATTTTGGGACATTCTTCAGGAAACTTCTTTATTGACCTAATGACTTAGTTTATTTGTGGTCTTCTGGTATAGCTTGGAAAGAAGGAAATAAATTATTTCCAGATAAATTATTTTTTATCTTTTAGAGATTCATAGTCAAATATTTATGGATGAAATGTTACAGTATCTGGGATTTGCTTCAAAGCAATGCAGGGGTAGGCTTAGTGGGTAAGAGGGCTTGAAACAAGATTAGTTGCAGGTTAAGAATTATTGAATGTGTGTGATGGATATATAAGGATTAATTTTTCTGTTCTGTCTGCTTGTGTATTTATATGAAAATTTTCCTAGTAATTTTTTAGAATTTTTAGTCACATGGTATAGGCTTTGGAATCAAGTAGACCTAGGCTTAAGGCGGGCTCTAAGCCAGGTGCAGTGGCTCACGTGTATAATCCTAGCACTCTGGGAGGCAGGAGGATTGCTTGAGGTGAGGAGTTTGAGACCAGCTTGAGCAAGAACAAGACCCTGTCTCTACTGAAAATAGAAAAATTAGGTGGGCATGGTGTCGCATGCCTATAGTCCCAGCTACTCAGGAGGCTGAGGCAGGAGGATCGCTTGAGCCCAGGAGTTTGAGGTTGCTGTGAGCCAGGCTGATGCCGTTGCACTCTACCCTGGGCAGCAGAACAAGACTCTGTCTCAAAAGGGAAAAAAAAAACCTGGCTCTATTACTCATTAGGCGTGTGAACTTGGACAAATGGCCTAACTTGTCTGAATTTGTCCCCCATGAAATAGAGATATTACTTTGCAGAGTTCTTTTGAGAATTCAAATGTACGTATGTATGTACATTTACACACACACACACACACACGCACGCAAGCGCACACAGGCATACACGCACAGCTAAGTTCTGGCCTAACCAGTTCATGGAAACAAACCAAGTAGGTCATATTTAAAGGAAAGATACTGCCTCACAATGTCGTTTCCCTTCTTGCTGATGAGTAAGAAGGCCTTTCTTTTTCTTGGAGTCCCTTCCCTACATTTTCAAGAATCTGCAGAGGTGCATACCTAATATGCCACCATGCTCTTCGGGCCTCACCAATTAGCAGGTTCTAGGTAGACACTTAACATCTTGAGAAATTGTGGGGCAAAGAAGTTAGTTTCCCTGCCCACATCTCTGCAGTCCTTCTGCTCACTGCATGCTGCCAACCTCCTCACTCTGTGTGTGGGCCTCCGAGGATCTCCCTTGCCTGCTTAGTGGAGAGGCGACTCTCGCTTCTTGTTCCAGCACATTCATTCATTCATTCATTCATTCATTCATTCATTCATTCATTCATTCATTTATTTATTTGAGACAGAGTCTCGCTCTGTTGCCTGGGCTAGAGTGAGTGCCGTGGCATCAGCCTAGCTCACAGCAACCTCAAACTCCTGGGCTCAAGTGATCCTGCTGCCTCAGCCTCCCGAGTAGCTGGGACTACAGGCATGCGCCACCATGCCCGGCTAATATTTTTCTATATAAATTAGTTGGCCAATTAATTTCTTTCTATTTCTAGTAGAGACGGGGTCTCGCTCTCGCTCAGGCTGGTTTTGAACTCCTGACCTCGAGCAATCCGTCCGCCTCGGCCTCCCAGAGAGCTAGGATTACGGGCGTGAGCCACCACCGTGCCCAGCCCAGCACTTTTAGAAAGGGGTCCCACAGTGGGGTTGGGTGGGTTCCTTGTGATGTGGTTGTTAAAATTATCTTCTGCTTTTCAAGACATGTAGATAATCTAGCAGGGCTGGTGGACACAGTGGTCAGGAGCATAGCTGCCCATCGAATCCAGTGTTACTGTTGCCTTCGTCAGCTACATCCGCTTCCTCAATTCCTCCGTGCTCTTGGCAATTTCTCTCTAGGGGCTAGTGGTCCCTCCTTACTCTGTCTTCCTGTTCTTAATCACTGTTCCCACCACTGAGTCTGAAGAGCAACCAAAGGCTCTCTGGGCCTTTGCAAAACAGGACATGTGCTTAGGTGCCTGTTCGTGTCCCCAAATACTCCAAGAATTAAGAAGCTCCATGAGGCCAGGCACAGTGGCTCACTCCTGTAATCCTAGCACTCTGGGAGGCTGAGGCGGGAGGATCCCTCAAGGTCAGGAGTTCGAAACCAGCCTGAGCAAGAGCGAGATCCCCTCTCTACTAAAAATAGAAAGAAATTCACTGGCCAACTTAAAAAAAATATATATGTGTATATATATGTTTTTTATATATTTAATTTTATATATTTTATATATAATATGTATTTAATTTTATATATTTTATATATAAAATTAGCCAGGCATGGTGGCACATGCCTATAGTCCCAGCTACTCGGGAGGCTGAGGCAGGAGGCTCACTTGAGCCCAGGAGTTTGAGGTTGTTTTGAGCTAAGCTGACACCATGGCACTCTATCCTGGGCAACAGAGTGAGACTCTGTCTCAAAAAAAAAAAAGAAGCTCCATGAAAATTCTGTGACAATAAAACTGATTCCTCTACTTTACTTCAGTCTCAGTCTCACGCCACTGAGATACTTTGTAACATATATGAAATATCTGGATCATAGTAAACACTCAAAAAAATTAACTGTTACTGTCACCCTGAATCAGAATTATCAACAGGGTGTGAAGCTGAGAGGATACTTTGCAATAGGACAGAGACCTGGGCATGAATTTCTCTATTTTTCCTTTGTTCAAAAACAAAAAAAAATCACATACACTAAATATTGTGTCTTGCCTGCCTTTGAGTTTTCTTTCATGTTATTACATGTTTTTGTCTAAGATACACTATCACTGGGAGGAGGTGATTTGGGAGGAGGTGATTGATTGAGGCCAAGAACAGGATCAATTTAAAAATATCTCAGAAGATTTTCTGGCCGTTGTCTGTCCTGTTCTTCCAAGTTCTGTGTGGGAGAAGCATTAATAACCTTGGAGAATAAATAACATTGCCAGTTGCAAAACTGGGACGTGTAGAAGTTGACTGATAACTGTATTATAAATGATCCTCAAAGTGGTGGGTGTGTCCCGTAGATCTGAGGGTGTGGTGTACTTTTATTTAGAAATGGAAAAAAAAACAACAAACCTATAAGCAAACGTAGTTTTGTTTAGGTTCCAGTAGTTCTAATCTTTTAGAAAGTTCGTCTTAACATTCTTCCTCTTTTCAGAAATTTTAATGGACCCTGAGTCAAGTCTGAAGTAAGTCTATACAGACTCTTTGGTCAATTTTTCTTTTGTTCCCAGAAAAATCACATTAATTTATTGCACTAGCATTAGTTGTCTAAAATAGATCCAATAGCAAAAATTACACTGGTCACATAAATGTTTATTAGTAGAAGGATTTCAGATCATAACATCTATAAATTTAAGTAGCATTTTATATAGAAGAGAAAAGATAAAGTAATCTTGGGGGATTATCTAGGCCAATTAATTGCCATTACTAGTATCTTAAAAGTTGTTTCTTATTGTTCTTCATATTTTTTCTATCTAGATATTGAAATAATACTGCCGCATGTGTGTGGCCCTGCATTTGCTGACCCAGCCCATGGGAGAATCTGTCTCATTTTTTCCATGAGTACCTTGGCTACCCCACCCTATGTTAGACTCTTACTGTCAAAAGCAAATGGGCTGGATTTTTTATGTAAATGTCATGCAGGTTAATATTTGAATAGCTTGGACAGGAAGAGCATTCTTCCTGCTCTATGCTATCGGCAGGTGCTACAGTCATTGACTTGAGCCAATCTTATACATGTAAGTAAATCTATCATCTGAACTTTCCTCTCCACGCTCTTAATTTCTTGATTTTCCTTGGTTTTAAAATATATCTAGTAGATTATCTTTTTCATGATCTGTCCGGATCTTGCAATTGGTGTGTGGGGGTTAGGTTCTTCTGTGAACCTGGGATGCTGACTTGAATAGGGGCAACTTTTGGAGCTGGAGGGAAAGAGCATGACAGTGGAAAATTTCTGCTGAGTTCCCTCTACCCCTTGAGGGGCTGTATCTGCAACTTTCATTTACTGTAACCCTAACTTTAAAACTACATTTAAAAAAATCATTTCCTTCTTTACTCTGGTTATTCTTACAAGAAGGAAAAAAATGTTAGACCAAATTTATGAAAATTTAGAATATGTTGTATATTGGGTTATATTCTGATCACTGAGATATATAAAGATTAATGATTTAGGAATAATATCCAATTGATTACCTTGCAACTGTTCCAGAACAATGTAGTAAGATATGATTTCTCGATATATGTGATTTCTCTAAAATCACAGAATTATTTGTTTAATCAATAAATATTTTATATTTATCAAAAGGCTTCTAACTAAAATATCTCACATATAAGGTATAGGACAAAAGGTCTCACGCAGAGCATTAGGGCAAATGAGACTCATTTGTAATGTTAGGGAGGCAAGCTGTATTTTTGCTGTATTTATTATTTTGACTTTAAATAGTAATTAGACTTTTTTTTTTTTTTGAGACAGAGTCTCACTTTGTTGCCCAGGCTAGAGTGAGTGCCATGGCATCAGCCTAGCTCACAGCAACCTCAAACTCCTGGGCTCAAGCAATCCTTCTGCCTCAGCCTCCTGAGTAGCTGGGACTAGAGGCATGCACCATGCCTGGCTAATTTTTTCTATGTATGTTTTTAGTTGGCAAATTTATTTCTTTCTATTTTTAGTGGAGATGGGGTCTCGCTCTTGCTCAGGCTGGTTTCAAACTCCTGACCTTGAGCAATCCGCCCACCTCAGCCTCCCAGAGTGCTAGGATTACAGGCGTGAGCCACGGCACCCCGCTGTAATTAGACTTTTTAAAACAACCTTTGTGAAAGTGCTGTGCTCCATTTTCCCTATCTGGGAGACTGATTTAATACAACAGGAAATAAGAACTATATTCTCTTTCCTATCTCTTAAACTCAAATATGAGTATCCATGACCCAGATAGGTAAAAGATGAAGTCTTTTCTGACAAAATTAGCTTTTTAGTTATAGTGCAAGAATAAGTGTTATTTCAGGCTGCATATAGCGACAGTTTTAAATATATATTATAGAATGTTAAAATGGGCTTTTTATTAAGAAATCATTCTTTTTATTGTATATGAAGTATTGATATTCAATAAAAGTGAGGGATATTTAATTTTCTCCAATTTTTATAGCTTCATTTCTTATATACATATTGGAGTATATTTACATAAACATATAAAAATGACTGATATAATTTATTTAAACATTTTAAAGACAGTGCCATCATCAGTTAACTGCCTACAGGTTATAAGGTACAATTTCTCTTTAAAACTTGATTCAGCACCCACTCTGTTAATTTTGTGCTGTGTATATTACTTTTCTCTGTGGAATGCAGCTTATAAATTATAAAGTAGTATTTGTGTTATACACTTCCCGCCCTGACTGCCCTACGGGATCTTCCAGGACAAGGACTGTGTTTTTGTATGTCTCTAGCCTTGTCACTGTTCCTGGCACAAAGCAGATTTTTGACAAAAGTTTGTTGAGTTAAATTAAATTGGTGTTATGAGGAGCTTCTGTCACGCATGGTCTGATGCAAAGCCATTTAAAGCATAGATGAAATAAGAGAGAAGGTTGAAGAACGCAATTGGTCTATAGGAAGATAGGTATGAATTCTTGCTTTGCAAATTCAATTGTGGATTTTTCTAAACATTGTAAAAGTTTATATGTAAATCATCTACCAGTCTAAGCCACGATTGGGAAGTCTTTTCTTCTCCAGTAGCCTGGGTTGGGATATGTGAAAATTAGTTTCGTTTACAATGGAGAGAACACTCTATTTAGTTCGATCTGTGATTGAAGACTGGCTCCAACATTCTGAATGTTCTTGGTAAAATTACTTTATTCACTGGCCTAATTTCGTTGCCTGCAGTAAGTAAATCTTTTCTCACTAAAACTCACTGCTAAGATTGTTGGAAGAATTAAATGAGGTGACACTTTCATGTGAATTTTGTGAATTCACTTTTGTGAACTTTAATGTGCTAAACAGATGTAAGCTGCTATTATTGTACTGGGTGACTACAAGTTCTGCACACCCTTGCTAAACCTTTACTGTTCTGTGACTAAGGTAGATATTTTCTTGGACAGATTTTAAATACTCTCTGTGACGTATAGCATCCTTCCATAGACACCTTTTGGGTTGTGGCAGTTAATAAGTTCTATGTTTGATTATTGAGGATTGAAATGTCTTCATTTTCATATTGTCTGTGTAGGTTTTATATGCCTAAATTATTTCAGTTTTAATTTATTAAATTTTAATTTATTTTCTTAACTAAGCAAATAATAGTTAAAATAATATATTCGAAAAGCTTATTATTAGAACAGAAACTATGTTCCCACTGTATTTTTTTGAAAAGAGAAAAAAACGAACAAACTTAATACCTAAAGTTCCCCCCAAATCAGGAATTCCTGGTAGAAATTAAGAGATTCATGTATGACTTTCAAACACTAGTGCTGGCAGGCTGGGACCACAATTTTGTTAAAAGCTCTTTCTGAGCACCAAGTAATAGGTGCTGACTTAGATGTAATCCCTCAGATTTTGGAGATAGATATGGATTAAGTTTAAAATTCTAGTCTAGCAAGAATACTGAGAATAATTTTTAAACCACCAGGTCAAAAGTTTTAGGTTGAGTAATATATGAATAAATAATAAATAGAAATGTTGTTTTATGCCCATGTAGAACGTTCTGCTTGAAGAGGGGGAAAAAAGAGAATTTGAATCATCCTTGTATATATGACTTAGAAGGATTGATTTAGCATATATGCTACTGTATACTCAAAGCTGAGTGTAGTGGTGTGATCAATAGTTCACTATAACTTCCAACTCCTGGCCTCAAGCAATCTCCTACCTGAGCCCTCCACAGTGCTGAGCTTATAGGCATCAGCCACCATACAAAGTCCCCTATATATGTTTTGTGCTGCATATTAGTATTGTTACACGGATATGCCAATAGAATCTTCCATGTAGATAATTGTAAATCATTACAGACAATGCTGCAATAAATAAGCTTACGCATGTCATTTTGGATATGTATACATTATCTATAAATCAATTTTTATCACAGCAGAGGATATGTATTAACATTTTGATAGATATCAGGAGAATTCCGTCCATACTTATAGTAGTCCCCTCCTAATCTGAGGTTTTGCTTTCCATGGTTTCAGTTACCTGTGGTGCAACCATGTCTACAAAATATTTAATATAATTATATACATATAAGATATTTTGCGAGATAAGAAGCCAGTACTATACATATAACTGTTATTACAATATTTGTTAGACTTGTTCTTATTATTATTAATCTCTTAATGTGCCTAATTACTAAATTAAATTATCATATGTATGTATATATAGGAAAAAACAGGACATGTAGGGTTCGGTACTACCACAGTTTCAGGATTCACTGGGTGTCTTGGAATGTAGACCCTGTCGATAACGGAGGGGACTAGTATAGTTACAAAAATTTACACCCTCTACAATAATTTTTCCTTTTCCTACAGCTTTACCAACAGTATTTAATCAAGTTTTGCATCTTTGTCCATATAACAGGTGAAAAATGGTAACTGGTGCAGTTTAATTAAAAAACATTTCCTTATTAAATATGAGTGGAGTTTAAAGAAAGATGTTCTTCAATTAACCCATGACACCGTGTTCCACTTCTGCAATTTTATGGCTACTCTAATTTAGCACCAATATCTCAAATTTAAATCTAGAGTTCAACAACAGAATGGATTTTTCTGGCTGATCTTTCTGGGTTTTGGTAGAAATTGGAGTTTATTCCTCCCTTAAGTGTCAGTTATAATGGTGTCTCACTGGGAATGGTGGAGAACAACTAGTTTGTTTTCAAAGTCAAGTAGCAGAAAAGGATGTAACATGTCACCTGGTTAATTCTCCTGCCTCCCGAGTGGACCATTACTAACTGGTCCATCCCTCTAACCTGATAGATTCTGATTCTAAGAGTTTCCTAAGCAAGCGATGTCAAGTCTATGCCACAGTCGAAACCCAGTTATGTCCAGTCAATCTTGGCCATAGGAAACATTTCAGTTGCATTACAATATACTGTAATTTTTGCTCTATCTACAGAATTGGAAAAAAAAATTGGTAATGTCCTCATACATGAGGGCCATGGCTACCTCTTTGACTTCTTTTCTCTAGACTATACGAATTATTTTATAAAAATTAATATTAAATAACTATATTGAGCTACTGAGGATAGTTACTCCAATAGCTTACAGGCTTGCTCCATCTTTTAGAGTGGAAACTACACTTACACCCTTCAACAGCTTACCTCGGGTCTCCATCACGGTAGACGCAGCCTCCTCTTTCTTACAGAGTGATTGACCGTCAAGGTCACTAGAAGCCACATTCAAAATTTCTGATCCAGAATCTATCAACAGGAAGAAACCAACAGCGTGAATACTATGCAAAGAGGGTATTTGCCTATCTTCTTCTCATTTGCACATGCTCAGCAAGTCACAGAACATCAGGCTTAAATTATAATACCGTGTTTCCCCCAAAATAAGACCTACCCATAAAATAAGCCCTAGCAGGATTTCTAAGCATTTGCACAATATAAGAATATAAGCCCAGGCCGGGCTCCATGACTCACACCTGTAATCCTAGCTCTCTGGAAGGCTGAGGCGGACGGATCGTTTGAGCCAGGAGCTCGAAACCAACAGAGCAAAGCAGACCCGTCTCTACTATAAATAGAAAGAAATTAATTGGCCAACTAATATATATAGAAAAAAAATTAGCCAGGCATGGTGGTGCATGCCTGTAGTCCCAGCTACTTGGGAGGCTGAGGCAGGAGGCTTACTTGAGCCCAGGAGTTTGAGGTTGCTGTGAGCTAGGTTGATGCCACGGCACTCACTCTAGCCTGGGCAACAAAGTGAGACTCTGTCTCAAAAAAAAAAAGAATATAAGCCCTACCCCAAAAATAAGACCTAATGATGGGTGTGGCTACGCAGCGTATCTGCACAACCCATGCATTTCGTTGTGGAACGGTAAAGAAGATGAGCAGCCCTTCTCATCTGCCCCATTGTGACAGCCTCTATCCCAGAGGTGACCCAAAAGCTGCAGGCAGCCCCACCAACAAGATGGGCTCCCCCTGTCAGGTCCCGGCCATCCTGTGCATGCTGCAACTGGGCTTTGAGGGGAAATAACACATCCCCTGAAAATAAGCCCTAGGGTGTCTTCTGGAGGAAAAATAAATGTAAGACCCTGTGTTATTTTCGGGGAAACATGGTACTAACACTCCTTTTGTCTCTCTTTTCCAAGTCCACTCACCACTGGAAGTTACAGTACTGTCCGTCGATGAAGTGCCTCCAAGTGATGGTAGTATGGGATGTTCCCTGCCAAAAGGACAGAAGAAATATTTTGGAACGTCAGATCCAGGAATTCTCCTAAAAGCCAACTAAATATGCACACAAATTCACACGCACAGCAAAAACAGGCAAACCTGGACTGCTGCAGGCTCTCAGCATGCAAGTGTTCAACACCATTCTCCTAAAGGAAAAAGAAAGGAGATATAAGTGCAACAATTTGACATTTTCTATTCCAGAGAGATGGTTTTAAGCAAACATTTTCATACAGTTTTAAATTAACACACATTTGCCTTGCTCTTTTGGAGAGGATATGGGAATGAGATGATATATCATAGTGATATACATACTTCCTCAAAGCCACACTTACAAAAAAAAAAATCCAATACTAAGCATATTTGCAAGCCTGATGTTTAAGGAAAACCTGATAAATTCTTGGCCAAAACAAATTCTAAACTCAAAGGGCAGATAGAGTTTATTTCATAAATATAAGTCCAAGGTT